TTGCAAAATCCACTTGAACATGACGCTGCTTTTTTCGAAGTTTCTCAAGAACCATTCGAGCCAGAGAATTCGTTTTGGCATCGTTGGATAGAGACCCCCCTGGATCCGCCCTTGGGAAGAAATCTGGCAAGAATTTTCTATTGTGGTTTCAAATAAAGACCACTTTTTAGTAACAAACGGTTCAAAAGCGCTCAAAAAACGCTGACTTTAATAAAGTTATACACTTTTATGCGGAAACTCAATCTCGTGTTGCAAAAGCCAATAAATAAAGTTTGCAATGTTTTAAGCGGAAGCTGAAAATCTCCCGATAATCTTCCTTTAAATTTTTTTTCAGAATAATCTTCCATTTCCTATTTTAACATTCAAAAGCGGGCCAAAACCGCATTTTGAAACGATGGCAAAAAGTACAATTTGAAAGGTTTAAAACTCCTTTAATCCCTCAGGAAGCCTCTCCAGTTGTTAAAGAAGACTTTACAAGGAGCGGGTTCATAACGTTCAGTTATTGTTGGAAAATTCCTCATTAGACTTTACCAGTAGCTGAAACTGGTGAGTTTGTCGGCAAAAATGCAACGTTTCATTTGGAAACAGTAGTTTGAAAATGTACTCAAAGAAAAGTTGCCCCCATTTGTAACTATCGTCTTCAATGCCTTCTGAAAGAGATCACAGGGCGATTGGTGGCTGTTAGGCACTAGATTGCAACAATAAGACTAATGGTCACACCCTGTAAAAGTGCGGAACTGAACCAGATTTAACAAGCAAAACTTGTAAATCGAAAATCTTACTTTCAAAAGAACTGCATACAAAAGATTCGGTCGCTATCCCGGTCGAGCATCTGTCGGAATCCCGAATCAAACACACGTTTGCTGTCTTCGGGACCCTTTTGTTTCCCATTTTACCTTTATTCTTTTGTACGGCGGGGTTCCTTTTCTTCCTGGTTGCTACCATGAAAACAATCGATGTGGAACGGCCCTGACACTCAAACCGTTAAAAATCCACAGACAAGTTCGGTGCGAATCTACCAGATTCTGGATTTTCGCAAACTGAAAAACTGTGCATTTGTGCAAAAACTCCAATTTTAAAGCCATCGAATGAATGGAAAAATAGGTTCGGTCTTCTGGCCTGCTCGCGCTCATAGTGAGCGCGTCCATAATTTACATTTCTGTCCAGATTCCATCCAAAGTCAAGCCAGACTCCGCCTAAAAACTCAGCTAAGTAGTGGTGGGGCTGCAGGTTCGCCTCCTCTTTCACAAAAATCTTTCAGCAAATTGCAGCCTGAAAAACACCCAGGGTTTCAGTTTAAGTAGCGCCGGCCCCCTTAAGTAATCGAATTAAGTGCGGAAAAACATCGCAAAATACGTCCAATTAAAACCGCATTGCTTACACTTATTAATCACGACCTAAGTGTTAATCTGCATTAGTTAGTTGCTTTGATCAATCGAGAACAGCCTCAAATTTGCGTTTTATTGCTGTTAAGTGCCTGAAAGTGTTGGAGGGATTTCAAAGGTAAATGAGCACAACAACTTCATTCGTTTAGCTGCATTTTTTATTTCAACGAATTTATATTCACAGTCAGTCGAAGGGTCAGAAGTTCCGAACGTACAGTTAGTCACAGTTTTTCAGTTATAACGAGCAGACGGGATTTTGCACTTTTTTTTTCTATTTTATACCAACAGTTTTTCAAGGTTTTTTCTTGTCCTCAAACCCGGCACTGCTTAAAGCGCTGCAGACCTGCAGATTTTAAATTTTTTAAACCTTGAAATGTGTAAATTTCCATTTTTTGTTGCCTCGGTTCTCTTAACGAAAAACAGTATTTTAAACTGAACAGGGTGTGCCCAAATATAATATGGACAAACAACGTTCTTCTGTAAAACGCGCTTTAAACTATCGTTAAACGAAAAATCAATATTCTCAGTTCTAAAGACTTCATTTGAAACAAACAAAGACCATTCTTGTGCGATTTTTTTAGCTTCCACAT